AGTCGAATTGAAATAAATAAATGTACAATCCTCGGATTTAAATCTAAGAGTTATGTGGGGTCAAAAAGAAGAAAAATTGATGATGAATTGATTTTCACCAAGCTTCTTGGATTAAATTCGGCCTTGATTACACTAAAGAATTGCATCCTAAGCCCTGCACTTGCCTTCTTTTTGTCCTGTGCGATGCGACGAAGAATTAGTTGGAGATTCCCCGCGGTCTACCAATCAAATGCCTCGCTTATTATAAGGGAAGTGAATGCCTTCTCAATTCAAGCAATTTTTTTTCTACAAAAAATAATCACTTTTTCCAAAGCAGGTCAGGTCACTGGTTCCCATAGAAAAGCTTTAGAGAGAAGCATACTCGTTCTTATAACTTAACCAATTAGTACCCCAAACGAACTCGACCGAGGTATTCTTGAGCTGATTATAGCCACGAAGTTGCATCACAATCTGTTCGCGTTCTACGAGCTATCGTATAAATCGTCGGATGGACACACTGAACGATTCTCTACTATACCTACTTTCTTTTTACACTATTTTTCAAAACATTTTACGCTACGTAGTAGCCTTCCAAAGAGGCTCGTCTTAGTATCCCCTAACATCTTTTATTGTGCGATGAGAGAAAAATGGAATTACAGTTGTAAAATGGGTACTTAAAGAAATGAAATGAGACAAAGTATGCTTCATCTTACTCATTTACCCTTTATGCAAGAAACAGATAGTGCCACCTTTTTCGACTGTCTGTACTTTGACGAAATTTGACACAAGCGGAAATGTATAGAATCCAATAGAATTCTACGTTAGTACAGGTATATTTATTATTGGCCAAATTTTCTGGCAGTTGGATCATATGAAATTATCAGACCTAGAATGGTTCACTGTTAGCTTATGTTTAGATGATAAAGTCAGAATAAGTGTGCAAGTGCTTTCAATCATCTCTCATTAATTCTTTTGCTATAGCCTAGGAAGCTTTATCTCAATATCCCAAATTAAAATGGGTTCTGTTGACTTCTAAGGTCGCGCTGTCGACTGGCCGTAAAGTAATACCTTTTATTAACTCTGACTGATTGTAGTCTGAAGATAGCGTTAGTAAAATAACCTTATGTAAATAGTGTGCTAATCTGTTAGTACATTGAAACGTAATGATCAGCGTAACGCTGCTTTCATCTGTAAAGGTTAACGCGTTCCTAACCTTCTAAAGAGAGGGTGAGTCAAAACAGCAAGCAATTCGACATAGATTTTGTCTGTTTCTTTTAGTATATAGGAAAAGTGGAATTCTGAACATGTTTAAAAGTGAACTACTATCTATTGCTAGCTTAAAAATGATTTTATCTAGTCAAAATCAACAGAGGCACAAGTTCCAGTAAAGTGGAAATGTATAGAATTCTATTGAATTCTACGTTAGCAGATATATACTTTTTACTGACCAAATTTGATTCAACCGGAAATGTACAGACTTCTACGGTGGTACAGATATACTTTTTACTGACCAAGTTTGAGACAAACAGAAATGTATACAATTTTATAGAATTCTATGTTGGTACGGATATACTCTTTATTGCCCAAGTTTGAGGCAAATGCGAAAATGTATCGAATTCTACGTTAGTACAGAAATGCTTTTTATTGACCAAATATGAGACAACGAAATGTATAGAATTTCACAGAACTCTAAGCTACTACAGATATATTTAGTGTTGATCACGTTTGAGTCAGGCGGAAATGTATAGAATTATGTCGAATTCTACATTACCATAGATATATTTTTCATTGGTCAAATTTGAGACAAATGCGGAAATCTATAGAATTCTACGTTAGTACAGATATATTTTTTATTTACCAAGTTTGAGTCAAGCGGAGATGTATAGAATTCTGTCGAATTCTACGTTAGTACAGATATACTTTCTATTGACCAAGTTTGAGACAAATGCGGAAATGTATAGAATTTTGTAGAATTCCACGTTAGCAAAGATATACACTGTATAGTGTAGAAATATGATGACATTTAGCGAATAATACGCATAAAATAAACACATGATTCAGTCGATGTTGAGCAATTGCGAGATATGAGGCGTCGGTTTCCGCTTGTGTGAAATTCGGTCAATAAAAAGTATATCTATGGTAACGTAGAATTCTACAGAATTCTATACATTACCGTTGTCTCAAACTTGGTCGGTAATAAATATAGCTATGCTAACGTAGAATTCTATGAAATTCTATACATTTTCGCTTGTGTCAACTTTTGTCATTATAAAGTATATCTATGGTAACGTAGAATTCTGTAGAATTTTATACATTTCCGTTTGTCTCAAACTTGGTCAATGATAAATATATCTTTTCTTTTATCGGAACAACTCTGACGTTTGATGTTTTATTTGTTTAGTAATTGTCTTAGAATTCATGAGGAAAGTATAGAATTATATAGAATGTTTGAATTGCAGGAATTCTGTCATTGGTGAAGAAAGCTGGAATACGGAGAATTTTTGCTGTATCTCACAGACTTCTCGTATGTCTTCCTCGTATGTCTCGGAAGACATACGAGACCAGTCGAATGATATAAAAAGTTTGATTTGCCCCCTGGACATCGAATTTCAAGCTGAAAATAGTCTCATCAGAAAGAGCACGTGGAATTACGTATTAGTAAAAAAATCTCTCTGGAATGCGAAGGTCATCTGCACAGCCAATTCTATATAGTGGAATCTATTTCGCGTGAAACAGAGACAAAAAATTTCCCATGATGTCTGGTGGTACCCCAGGGTCGAAAAAATGACCCATCGTAAAGTACAAAATGGAAGTGTACAAAATGCTCAAAATTTAACGCTGATTCTTTGGGAAACAAAATTGGGGTCTCATTTTGTGACATCCAAACTAGACTCCTGCGGGGCAGCCCCGAATCCCGTCCCGCGGAACAGACGGGGACGGGACAAAAAAAAATTACGGGCTTGGGCTCATGGGCTCGGGACAAAATGTCCGATATTCAAATCTAGCAGATGTATTACATATCAGTTTTGGTCTGCTGAATTTCTTTTACTATAAGTCAAAATATACATTTATCTGGCTACATTTGACCATGTAATAATACTCTATTGTTGATTCCACTAGTCTTAGTTATCCGCATGAGAGCTCATTTGTTAATCATTATCATTATTGTCATCCATATTTTCTTCCTTTTCTCCAACAAAATCAGTTCGTTGCCGTTTAGTTGGTGATGATTGTGGTGTGGATGATGTTGATTGTAAACTATTTTTTCGCTTGCTAAATTCTTCACCAGCTGGGGGGAAAATTTCTCGTAATGTAAATAAATTACGCTGGATAAACAGCAGATGATTGACTCGCTCAGTTTCTAATCGTATTCGACGATTAGTGATTGTGTTACCGCTATACGAAAATAAACGTTCAATGGCCGTATTTGCAGTAGGAATGCAAAGTATTTGTTTAGCTAAATGAGCTAATTTTGGATATTGAGTTTCATTCAATTTCCAATAATTTAAAATATTTGTTTCTTTTTCAATTTTTGTTTCATCACATAGATATAAGTCTAATTCTGTTTTAGATGATGCTGGTTTCACCAAATTACCTTTTACAATTGGTTTATCAAATATTTCATCTAATGGGTCAATATGTATCTTTGGTATTGGATTAACTAGTTTTTTATCATCTTTCGTTTTTGTTTTATCTTGAACATTTGTATCTAATGGTGCCAGTTTATTAAATGCGATTTTCAATAAACTTTCGGCATATAACTTTTTGTCGGGTGTATGGTTAAAACTTTTTAAATTTGGATGCAACATGGTCGCAAGATAATGAACATCTTGAAGTACCCAGTAATCTATTACATGTTTTGCAATAAACTTCTTCGGCGGAGTTGTGTGAGTCATCATCATTAATAGCTGAACGATTAATCAATAACTGTTTATAAGGTATCACAAGGTGAAGTGTTGGTTTTTTTTCAGCATTCATGCGCTCAATCACATCATCAAAATGTTTCAACTATAAACAAACAAGTTGTAATTCATCACGACTAATAGTTAGATAATTGAGCTTCTGATCATCACTAATGACATTCGGCAATTCATTGAAGACATTTAGTACAGAATTCATCATTAAATACGAACCATTAAAACGTGTTTCACAATAACTTTGAACATTAACCGATAATAAGCTTTGTTTATGACATTTTCTGACATGTGTAACAAGCTCAAGAACACTCTTAAACAATGATTGTAGTTCGTCACAATTTATGTCTTTTTTTTTGAAACCGTGTTCCAATATTTTGTTGAGATAATGAGCAGAACAACCAATACGTTGAACATTGTTCTTAAATGCACATGTTATTTTATTCTCATTGTCAGTAACAGTATAAACATCATCGCTCAAACTTAGCCCAAATTCATCCAATATTCTCTCAACAAATGCACGTATATTTTTTGATTGTTGTGTTTCATAGTCGTAAGCTTGACAAGCTAATGTGAACACGCGTAAATC